GAGAGAGAGAGAGAGAGAGAGTCGATAAGAGTGAGAGGGTTAGCCAGTGAGTGTAAGAGTGTGTGCATGTGTGTGTGTGTGTGTGTGTGTGTGTGTGTGTGTGTGTGTGTGTGTGTGTGTGCGCGCGCGCGCGTGCGCGCGTTACTCCAGGAAATAGCTCCGTCATATTGTCACGCCCAGAGTTTGACCTGACAGCCACCTTTCAGTGGACCCGTCCACACCACACGTCACAACCCCAGCACCGGGCAGCACACACAGGAGGAGGACCGACAACACGAACTATATTTTTTTCTGTTTTAGTATAAGATTTGTTTGGGGTGGGTTTTTTTTAGGTAAGTGTTTTACGGCGCTCGCAACTGCAAAAGGTCACATGAGCGCGCGCGACACAACAAACATTTTGAGTTGGTAGGAAATTTTGAATGTTGCCCGGGTGGCGGCCGAAGCCTACTCTTATCGATTTTGGACCACCAAGGAATCATTAACGTAAGCAACTTGCACAGGTGACCTCCGAGATTTTTCGCCCTTTTCCGAGAAGGCTAGGTGTAGATCTTACCTACCAAATGATCAGGGGTGTGGCTGAAAGACAGCAGTAAGAAGGAGACAAGGGGTAGCAGTGGAAAGGCTATGGAAAGAGTCAGGAGCCCAGAGGAGGAGGCAAGGTGGGTGAGGGGTTGGGGGCAGAAAGTGGAGACGAAAGCAGACGATAGAATATTGTTAGAGACAAGGAAAGGATGTGAACGGAGAAAATTTTTCTAAAAGGCAATTTTTCCGTCGTTATCCGGATTCGAAACCGGGACCTTTGAAAGAGAGGCGAACACCTTAATTAACATCTTGGCCACGAGAGCCCCCAAGTGAAAGGTTTACGGTACTTGCAACACAAACAGGTCATAATAAGAGCCTATGATTAAAGGTTTAACAAAAGAAACAAACACAAAAAGGAGAGATAGTTTCAGAAAAAGTTTTACGGCACCTGCAACATAATAAGGTCATATAGATCTACGTACCGAAGATTAGAATTGTTACAAAAGAGAGCACTAAATGTTTGTTAGTTTTAGCAAGTCTTTTACGTCACTTGCAACACAACTAGGTCACAAATAAGGGCCGAAGATTAGAGGTGTTACAAAAAGAGACCAACGCAAAAAGGAGAAATAGTTTTAGTTTTAGTAAGAGTTTTACGGCACTTGCTACACAATAAGGTAATGAAAGTGCCGAAGATGAGAGGTGTTGCAAGAGAGTAACAAACACGAATAAGGAGGGAAGATAAGGACGATATATGTTTTATAGAAGAGACGGAGCAAACAACACCAGAGCACCTGCTAACTACCCAGGAACATCATCATCATTTCTAAAGAGACTTTGTGTATTATGCTTTAGAGGGAAAATACAAAATATCTCATATTTACAATTTTCGTCACCGTGACACAGAATTAAAAGAACAACAAAGAGTACCCAAATAACAACCACAACAATAACCTACAGTGAGTAAACCACAAAAGGGCAAAGACAGCCAGAGATTTTTAAAAACCCCAACAAAAACCACACGCACAATAAAAGTAAATACAACATAAATATTTCCGTAGCCATTTAGTTGTCAGCAACATCCTACAATTAATTGATTTCCACAACATTTCACAACCTGGCCTCTGTGATTACATCAAGCAAACACGGGAACAATGGCAGCAGTGGGTTTGGATTTGATTACCTTTTTTTATCCAAGACGGCAAAAAAAAACAAAAAACTTTTAAAAACCCAGCAACCTC